GCCCCATAGATAACTCCAATTCATAAAAGTGAAATAACAAATTCAAATATTTTTTGAACCACCCAACTAACAATTTTCTTGAGTAATTCCATCTTCTAGGTCTTGTTTGATTTCACTCATGCTTCTGCATTTTGATTTCCTTCACACCAGTTGTTTGATTTCACTTGTGCTACTTGACTCTTCATCGGCCACAACCAATAGTAGATTTGCTTGTCTTCTTTAGATGATAGTATAAGTTTCTACAATCATTAAAAGGAAAAGGAGTTAAAAATAAAGAAAGCAGCTTTTGTATAATAAAGATGCACATGTCCATGTAACTTTCTTCCTTTACTTTGGAAAAATATAAGAAAAAAACAAAAAAAAGAGTCTTACATACAATGAATCTTCAAACTAAACCTTTATGCAAAATTTGTTGGTCTGTTAATTCTAATCCTACTACAAGTTCATTGTTAAGTATGTCTTATTGTGTCTTATTCTTTGGGAAGCAGTTTGTTTGTTTGTTCGTCTTTAAACTTAAAAAATCTTTCATCTAGTTGTTTATAGCACACGCACACACATACAGAGATATATATATATATATATATATCACTAATGAGTCAGATGCAAATGTTTAAAGCTTAAAGCCATCAAGTCAAAATACATGAATTTGTGAATTACCAAAATACCATACCTATATGGTTATCCTAGACAAATGTGCAAATCTGATTCAAAATAATGGATAAAGACATAAGCTATTTCATAAACCAAGTGACGCGACAAGCCCCATTCTCATTTAAAGAAAACATGGCTTAATAGTTTGATGATATGCATAAGGCCATGGAATGATAAGATGCTTGCGATAGAACAAACCTAAACTCTGAACACTGGTGTAAAAAGCGTGCCTAGGCGCTGCGTAATCGTTGGGCAATGGCTTTCCACATCGCATTGGCCTCTATTCGGTGGTTTTGTGCAGTTTGAATCGCCTAATTAGATTAAGCGGGCTCAAGCACTATTAGATGCGCTTAATTGTGCCTAATAGCGCTTGGATAATTTTTTTGTTTTTGCAAATTAATGGAACGACATTGTTTTCTTTGTTATAAAAAAATGACCTAAATTCCTATTTATATCCATTTCCATTTGCCTGCTCCTAGCCTTTCATTTTGCCTTTTTCCCGTTTCTTTCTCTGATACAATGAGACCCTTCATTTTCCATTTCCAAACCCAAATCCACTTTGATTTTTCTATGCATATAAACACAAAATAACACTCAAATAGTAATTTAGTTCCTTTTTTTTTTTTCTCTTGTTTTGTCTTTTTTTTTCCCCATAGTGAAGTTGATCATGTTCTAATATCAGTGCTATAGTCCTCTATAATACTTTACCTCAAAATTGCTTTATGTCCAAAATTTGAGTGCATCTTTGTGTTTCTAATTTGGATTCAAGGTATGTTGATCTTATAATTTTATGGAAAATTTTGAACTTTCATTTTCAAAACTAAAACTTTTGATCTATTATTGTATTCTTGATTCTTGTTAAAATTTGTATTCAATGGTAAATGTAATTTTAAAATTTATCTCACTTTTTCCCCCTATTTTCCTATTATTATATAAAAAACTTATTAAAAAAATTGCCTAAACCGCCTAGGCACTCTAGGTGCTACGCTATGGGCAACTGCCCACCACCGCCTAACGCTTTTTACAATCTTGACTCTGAATCATGCAAAAATAGATTACCAAAACATTAAGCAATGACCATAGAACATAAACCAATCCTATTGAAGAATTAAGCCAAATAGACGAATTATTTATAAAAGTGGAAACAGATGAAAGCCTACATACCACTAACTACAATTGTCAAATTTAATGATGATTTGAAGAAAATAAAAATCAAAG